CTTCCGGCCTTTACAAAGAAAAAGTGAGAAGCTGAGCTTCTCAAAAGCTGCAGCCACATTAGGAAGCTACCCCGTTTGGTGTGGCTTGTGCTTTTAGAGCCAAAAAGCTCTTCCCACAATCCACACCAAACAGGCACTAAGAGCAAGAAGCACAGTCTCTTTTTTCTTTTTACATCATTTGCTTTTCCTTTTCTAAAATGTCTCATCACATGATCACAGTTGCCATTTGCTTTGCTTTTCTCATGTCCTGGTATGAAGCTTTCCCGTGAAGCTACAGGCTGCATAATTCAAAGAGAAGAATTCATCAGCCAGCCAACATGTCAAATCAGGGTAACTTATTCCAATAAATAATGGCTTAATTTAAGTTTTAGTCTATTAACTATCACCTTGATTTCATTTTAGTCTAGAAACTATGTTTTATTTCTAAGTGGTCTATTAACTTTCAGATTCATTTCAGTTTCGTCTACTTGGTCATAGATAACGGAAAACTTCATATTCTGTTAGAGAACAGTTAGTCCTTTGATTATATTTTTTTATCTTTTAGTCCTTAAATTTATATTTGTTATAAAAAATAACATTTTTACTTAAAATTATTATTTATAGGCTCTGATACCAGATTTTTATATGGGTTTTCCTAATTCTTTAATTTGGCATTAGAGCCTGAAAGTTAATAGATCACTTAGAAATAATAATTTTAAGTATAAAAATCTAGTATCAGAACCTAAAAATAATAATTTTAAGTATAAAAGCTATTTTTATAACAAATATAAATTTGAGAACTAAAAGGTAAAAAAAATATAGTTAGAGGACTAACTGTTCTTTAACATAATAGGAAGTTTTCCGTTATCTTTGACCAAGTAGACGAAACTGAAATGAATCTGAAAGTTAATAGACCACTTAGAAATAAAACATAGTTTTTAGACTAAAATGAAATCCAGGTGATAGTTAATAGACTAAAAATTGAATTAAGCCAATAAATAATGTCTGAAAAGTCAAAAATGGTTAAACACGTTTTAAGGTAAGAAAGAATTTCTAAGAACAAGAAGCACACCCTTTTCTTTCTTTTTTTAAAATGTGTCTCTAAAATATTGACTAAGAAAAGGCTAGCTGTGAACAGACTGATGTCGACCACTGGGACGGCGTAGGACCAGTTACTTTTTTTTGGTTAAAACTTTTTTTTGGTCCCTGAACTATTGTACAGACCCCCAATCTGGTCCCTAAACTAAAAAAATCCCTAATTTGGTCCCTACTGTTTACCATTTTTACCCCGATTTGGTCCTTCCGTTAAAAACTGTGTGATGTGGTCTGTTACTTCATGGTTACCAGATGACATGTCATAGAGCAATCCACGTGGAAGACCAAAAAGTGATGATATGGAAAAAATAATAATATAAAAAAATATTATGAAAAATAAAACTTAAAATTTTTTTTCTTTTTTCCTTTTTTCTTTCTCCTACCCCTTTTCCTTTCTCTTTCTCCTTCCCCTTTCTCTTCTCTTTCCCCTCGGAACCCAGTAGGACTGGGTTCTTTCGAACCCACCCAGGCGCTGGGTTCCTTGCGAACCCAGGCGCTGGGTTCGCAAGGAACCAAACCCAGCACGCTTGCCTGGGTTCGATGGAACCCAGCACGCTTGGGTTTGG